CTTTTCAGCAACACATAGGATCTTGGTTAAGTCAATAATTCCTTACTATTGGTAAAAAAAAAAAAGTGATAGTTCTACTGGCAGATTTGTTCACTTAAAATATGTTGAAATGTCTTTTATGACAAAAAATTTGGGATAGGAAGTAGCACTTTATTAAAACAATAAAATAATAATTAATGAATTAAGGATGTCTTGGTCAAATAATTATTTGTCATTTCAAGTGCATTAAGATATTTGCAGTAGAAATGACACAATAAATACTTGTTTTTGCAGTGTGACACCAATCAATGCACATAGCAAATATATTTTTGTTGAGTAATTAAAACAAGTTATGAAATCTAATCAAACCCTAAATTTGTCAAATGACGCTTCACAAAAAGTGTATGTTTTCACCAACAAAGCCACCTCTAACAATCATAAACACAATGACGCAAATTTCTCACAAAAGGTTCATTTTGCAACTTAAATCTACACACACGGCTTTTAGTTAACACAAGAAGTTTTCTTGTGACTGGCAAAATGAGCGTGTAAGTCCGGAAAATGCATTTTCTCATGCATGTTACCACAGTTACAGAGGTAGTCTTTCTGCTTGGCCTGCAGGGAGTTGATGAATATGTTACTTGGAACAGTGAAATGCGCATTGACGCTCAAAAACATCATGAGAGTCGGCTATCAGTGTGACCTCCGGTTGTTTTTGCATCACTAAAAGAACAAAAAAAATTACATTTTGTTCCTTCTTATGTACGAGTTAAAGGAACACACCAAAACTAAACTGCTTAAGTTTTAAGGGGTCACAATCGCGTTGACGACATGCGAACGCTGTATGGAAAGTCGTTTGAGCATTTATTCGACTTAAAGAAGGATGTTCCTCTATTGCTTTGGATATTTGGAGAGCAGTACAAGTTGGACTCAAAACCACCAAGTCATCTGGATATATATAAGGTTATATATAAGGTTGTTAATTAGTGTTTATATATATATATATATATATATATATATATATATATATAAATTATAAATGATAATATCTATATCTATATATATATCTATATCTATA